TTCAAAATATCACTATTTGCAGATGATATGATAGTATACTTAAGTGACCCCAAAAACTTCAATCAAGAACCCCTAAACCTGATAAATTACTTCAACAAAGTGGCTCAGTATAAAATTAGCTCAAGCAAATTGGTAGCCTTACTTTCTATAAATGATAAACATGTTGAGAAATAAATTAGCAAAATGACACTCTTCACAATAGTCATAAATATTATAAAATAGTGTGATTTGACTCTACCAGACAGGTGAAATATTTGTATATTTATGAAGAGAATTTCAAGTCTCTGAAGAAAGAAATCATAGAAGATCTCAGGAGATGGAAAGAGCTCCCATAACAGGATTAATATAGTAAAAATAACCATCTTGCCCAAAGCAATCTAGAGATTCAATGCAACCCCATCATTAACTCAATTATTCATAGAGTTAGAAAGAGCAATTTGCAAATATATTTGAAATTAAAAAAAATGATAGAAAAAATTATTCTCAAAAACAAAACAACTTCTGAAGGGAATTACCATCCTTGACCTCAAGCTGTGTTACACAGCAATAGTGATAAAAATTGCATGGTTTTGGTACAGAGACAGACAGGTAGATCAATGGAATAGAATTGAAGGCCCAGAAATGAACCAACACACCTATGGTGACTTGATCTTTGACAAAGGAGCTAAAACCATCCAGTGAAAAAAGACAGCATTTTCAACAAATGGTACTGGTTCAACTTCCAGTCAGCATATGTAGAAGAATGCAAAATGATCCATTCTTATCTCCTTGTACAAAGCTCAAGTCCAAGTGGATCAAGGACCTCCACATAAAACCAGATACACTGAAACTAATAGGAGACAAAGTGTCAAAGAACCTAAAACACATTGTCACAGGGGAAAATTTCATGAAGAGGACACTAATGGCTTTTGCTACAGCTAAGATCAACAATACACAAATGGTGCCTCATAAAATTGCATAGCTTCTGTAAGGAAAAGGACATTGGCAATAGGCCAAAATGGCCACCAACAGATTGAGGAAAGATCTTTCTTAATCCTATATCCTACAGAGGGCTAATATCCAACATATAAAAAGAACTCAAGAAGTTAGACTCTAGAGAACCAAATAACCCTATTAAAAATGTGGAACAGATCAAAAGAGAGAATTCTCAACTGAGGAAACTCAAATGACAGAGAAACACCTAAAGAAATGTTCAACATCTTTGGTCATCAGGGAAACGCAAATCAAAACAACTCTGAGATTCCATCTCACACCAGATAGAATGGCTAAGAACAAAAATTCAGGTGATTGCAGATGCTGGCAAGGATGTAGAGAAAGAGGAACACTCCTCCGTTATTGGTGTGATTGCAAGCTGGCACAGCCATGCTCGAAATAAATCTGGCGATTCCTGAGAAAAATTGACCTGAGTACCCAGCTATACCACTCTTAGGCATCTACCCAAAAGATGCTCCATAATATGAAAAGGACACTTGCTCTGCTGTGTTTATAGCAGCCTTATTTAAAATAGCCAGAAGCTGGAAACTACACAGATGTCCTTCAACAGAGGAATAGATACAGAAAATGTGGTACATTTACACAATGGAGTACTATTCAGCTATTAAAAACAATGACTTTGCGAAATTCTTAGGCAAATGAATGGAACTAGAAAATAGCATCCTGAGTGGGGTAACCTAATCACAAAAGAACACACATGGTATGCAGTCACTGATAAGTGGATTATTAGCACAAAAGCTCAGAATACCCAAGATACAGTTTACAGACCACATGTAGCTCAAGAAGAAGGAAGACCAAAGTGTCAATGCTTCAGTTCTTCTTTGAAGAGGAAACATAATATTCACTGGAGCAAATACAGAGACAAGACAGTGTGGAGCAAAGACTGAAGGAAAGGCCATCCAGACTGAAGGAATGGCCCCACCTGCAGATGCCTTCCATATACAGTCATCAAACCCAGACACTACTGTGGATTTCAAGAAGTGCTTACTGAAAGGAGCTCTATATAGCTGTTTCCTGAGACGTTCTGCCAGAGCTTGACAAATACAGATGAGGATGCTTACAGCCAATCATAGGACTGAGCATGGGGACCTAAATGGAGGAGTAAGTGAAAGGACTAAAAGAGCTGAAGGGGTTGGCAACTCCATAGGAAGAACAACAATAACCAACCAGACCCCCCAGAGCTCCCAGGGACTAAACCACTAACCAATGGGTACACATAGTGCAACCCATGGCTCCAGCCACATATGTAGCAGAGGATGGCCTTGTTGGGCATCAATGGGAGAAGAGGCCTTTGGTCTGGGAAGGCTTGATGCCCCAGTGTAGGGGAATGCCAGGGCAGGGAGATGGGAGTGTGGTATGTGAGAGCAGCCTCATAGAGACAGGGGCAGGGTGCATGAGAGAAGAGGTTTCCTGAGGGAAAAATGGAAAAGTGGATAGCATTTTAAATGTAATAAAGAAAATATCCAATACAAAATAAATAAAAAGCAAATTAAAATGAAACATAAATTGATGTAAACTACAAGGTGTATATGCAGTAATGTTCATATTCAAATCATAAAATAACTCATAGTTATTAGAGGACAAGTATATAATTGTCCTAATGTACTTTGAAATTTTTCTGACAGAGGGACTCTCTTTACTTCTTCCTTAGATGTACAGTACATTTGGCTGTTGGGCTATCACAAGTAGAATGATTTACATTGAGAACTGTGGGAAAGTGTGTAAGCTGAATGTATTGGTAAATTCCCAAGTCATCATGCTCCATGTTACTTATTTTGAGCATGAATTCCGTCCCTGACATTCTGTCACTGAACCTATTTGGGACCCTAGAAAATTTCCTGTAACCTCTATAGATCAGGGCCTGTGTGCTCTGTTCTGGATTCTGCAGGAACTAATACATATAGATGATTCTATCACTGTATACATGGTGATAAAAACTGGCTATCCAGGAGTGACAGAGATGGAGCATGGATCCTAGGTCATTGAGATATCTTTGCTGGTACCTGACAAGGGAATAAGGAAAATGTCAGTTACAATCATTATGAGTGACTTTTTAATATTCTTTTATGTTATTTATCTCAAAACATATATTTATTATTGTATAAGCAATTCTAGTTCATACCCCACAATGACAATTTTCAAAAAATAACACAGCTAAGTGTCCACTAAATTTAGTTTGCACTTTTATCCTTTTATCTGTGTTAAAATTTATATCAGGGACAAACTGCTTGCTCCTTACAGAATGCTCTCCATGGAACTAAACATCACATGCCATATTGGAAGGCAAGACTTGCATGTGTGTGTGCAGACACACACAAACACAGACATACACACACGCACACACACAAATAAAACACACACACAAATAAAACACACACACACACACACACACACACAAATAAATTCCGTCATTGGCAACAGTGAGTCACAGATCTCACTTTGCATTCCCACTTTCCTGCCTCTTCTCCCCTGCCTTTACCGGGACCCTCTAGCGTGAGTAGTTCTAGGAGCAGAACAGGATACCTCTTTCTGTGTTAAACTGAGGAATCCTGGTAAGGCCAGGCAATTGTCAGCTGGGCAGGGTCTCTGGCGGGTTTGCA